TATGCTAATACATAGGAAACCCCAGCTTTATAGGTTCCTTTTGATTATATCCAACTTGCATCCATTTTCCACAAAGCAATGCTCATAGGGTTGGTAGTGGCCAGTACAAATCGTACTGATAAATTTTGGCACACAGGTTCTGCTAAGGAGTATAGCTCCGAGGAGTTTGACGGTTGAGGGGTTCGTTCCTACGCTCGAGTTTGGCGATCTTATCTTCAAGCTGTTCTGAATGAATGCTACTTTTGATTCCGCCAATGCGGTGATGTAATAAATTATGTAATTCTGCACTATTTGTACTCTGATATTATCGTTGTATGGATGTGATATTCGACTGGAATTTGGGTAATATGATCTACAACGGTCTTATTACACTTTGACTCTGTGGATTTCCCTTTGTGGAAATCGGGGTTGTGGAACCTTAAGAGTACCTTAAACAAGTTTAGAATATCACATGGAACGACTTTGGTACTCATGACTAAGGCTAGTTTGGTCTCAAAGTCCTAGTTATAGTTTAAGTCATCATTTTAAGTGGTATGTTTGACGTAGGTTGAACTATGTCATAGAGTCTTTGCATGCCAAAGCACCCTTAAGCAAAGTTGTAGTATTTAATTAAAGCAACAACTTTTATTTTTGGGTCATTAGCTAATTCAGTGCCTAGCTTAGTCATTTTGAGCTCACAAGAATCAACATTTCACTATTTTTGGGACTTAAAATTTTGTCCAAGTCATTTCTGGTTTTCAGTTTGATTTGCCTGACTTTGAGATGTTGTATCTTCATAACTTTGAGAATTAGACTTTGATCATTTAAGAGATGTTGGAGCTGGTACGTAGGTCTTCAACTTTTGTTAAGGAAGTTTTCGCTAAAATGCCGTGGTTTAGGAGATTAGAGATGTTGATTTGGTGCTGTTAGTCATGAACATCGCGCTCTAATGACGTCGTCGCAACGCGCCGTCGTGGCCGACCGCAGACAGGGTTTGGCCGCCGCGTGGCCACTGCTGGCTAACGTCGGGCCCCCGCCGTGGTGTGCTGGCGCACGCTTAAGGAGAGTCCGCGCGGCTCAGCTCATTCACTCTTTTGCTCTCCCTCCCTCTCTACTGCCTCCCTTCACTCGCTTTCGCACTGCAGCAGCAGCGCAGCGCTCGCCGCCGACGCCATTGTCGGTCGCTCGGTTCCGCACCGCGCTCGCATCGCTTCTTCGCCATAGCTGTAGCTCTGTTGTGCTCCCACCACCTCACCAAACCCCTTGACTTGCTAGCAGCACAGCGTTAAGCCTCCTGTGCAGCGCGCAGCCATCACCGTCGTCTCGTCGCCGTGCCACGCTGCACGTGGCCCGGCCACCTCCGCCCACCGTTTACCAAGCTTGAGTGTGCGCTAGACTCACTGTAGTACAAAGAAGCTCGACCGAACCCTAATTTGGGCTATTTCTCGCTAGTCAGCTCTGGTGCTCTATTCTGTGCCAATGACACGCGGGCCTAGCTGACTCAGGGGCCCTAGCTGTCAGCGGCTTAGGTGTAGATGCTAGTTCATTTATTTCAGAAATGTATGCCAAATTTGAAAAATCATAAGTGGAGTTGTAGATGTCTAATTCTAGTGAAACAAATTTTGCTGTAATCCTCATGAAGTGTAGTGTTTTATAAAAATATGAAATTTACAATTTCTATCATTTTTATAGGTGAATATAATATATCTAGATAAGTGCTTTTTAAATGTTAGTAATCTTGTAAAATAGATATCTTGAGCTACAAAAGTGATAAAATTGTGATTCCAATTTTTGTGGTCTTGTGTTGACATGCTCTAGCTAGGAAAAATAATAAAATTGCTGTAAACTTGTTTGGAGTAGGGTCTTTCTATTTAACTTTTAATAAATGGTATTTTTCGAGGAAAATTGTAGTGATAAAAATAAGTAACATATGGCCATGCAAAGTTTTGTACAGTAGTATGGCACTTGGATGAAGCTAAAAAAAATATACAATCTGTTGTTTGACACTTTTCTATAGGGTTAACTATTTTGACTAAAATAGACCTTGCTAGCTTGTCATTTTTGTAGAGGATGTTATATAAGGTAAAATGGCATGAATTTTTTACAGTACTCTATTGGGAGCACTTGGAAGCCACTGTAATTGTTTGAGAATTTATTGTGCACATTTGTTATATGTATGTTATTTCCCCTAATTATCTAATTAAATTAATAAAGACATTTAAATGAATAGATTGGGCTTTACCAATATATTTTCTTGAGTGTATTTGATGTTCCTGAACTGTTGGTATAGTTGGTGATATAAATTTGGAATGCTTATATGCAGTAAAAATATTGTTGCTCTATAATTTGATTTAGAAGTGTTTTCGGACAGATTCTGTTGTTGGGCATATTGCATAGTCAAAATGATGTTTGATGTAGAAATGGTTAATAACAAAGTTGTAGGGAACTTCTTCATCTATCTTGTGTTAAAATTTTAGGGCAATAGGCCAAATGGTTTAGGAGTTATGCACCTACTCAGTTAACATGGAGTTAGCATTGCTATCATTGTGTAACTTAACATCATTATCATAGCATGTACCTTCCCATACCACATCATCCATGATCCTTCTTGTGCATTAGTGGAGCTTACTGATGCATATGCATGCAATAGCTGCAACCGAGGAAATCACGCTAGTGGAGCTCTACGACGATCCACAAGAGGAGAATTAGGAAGTGCAGCACCAGGAGGATCCTGACAAAGGCGAGCCTGAGGTTGATCATCTCCCAGAGTGCCCTGATCATCAGCCAGCAACGTTCGTGAAAGGCAAGCCCTGGAGCATTATAAGTCTCCCTACTTTATTAATGTCACCTAAAGTTATTCGTATTGATGCATTACGTGACAAGAGTTGATTGGAAACACTTGCTGCATACTACCTTTCCTTAACCAGAAATATCTACCATGAATCCTATTTAAGTCTAGGAACGCTTATCATGCTTAGCTATGTTTAGACTGGTAGAAGTCGGGTGATTTCCTGTCACCTACGAGCTATAGGTGATAACCTGATCACGGTTGGCTATATTGTGCTATCGTGGAACATAACCTGGTGTGGTTGTTTAACTGGAGACCGGGCGAAGTCTTGTGTTGTGGTAATCATAGTGATTCCGTCTGTGTCATTTAAGGACCATCCGTTGGAGGTCATCTTGTTATGTTGAACGCATGCCTCTCACATAGTTGACCGGATAAGTCATTCCGACCGCAAAGCCGAGTAGCTCAACTTAGGCCGAGGACATGAGCAGTTAAAGTGTGCACCTTGGAGGCAGTAAGGATGTGCAGAGAGCCAATGGCGTAAGCCCAAGGGTGGGTTAGAGTCCCGAGCCCCCTTGGCAGATTGGTTGTATCTTTGAGGGTGTGGTGTTGGTCCTACCCGTGATTGTACTTGAGTTGTCCCAAAGGTGACCTGATGCAACCCCAATGGGGGAAGTACGGGTGTGTGTTAGGAATAAATCCCCAGCTGGGTAGGAATCAATTTGAATCACTATCTCTCCCGAATAGTGAGAACTTGACAGGAGTACACTTTATCGTAGTAATTGATGGAAGTGTTGGTTATGAGATTATGAAAGAACTCAACTGGATATGGTTATTATTGTGATGACTTAATGGTACCAACATGTTTGGCATAGGATAGATGCTAATCTAGTATAAGATAGGATTAATAACTGGTGATTCACAACTTAAGAGATGTTGAACAACTTATGCTTTTTGTGCAAAGAATGTCTACTAGCTCTACTTATAAGCCTTGCATACTCCTTGGTGTCTTAGTATATTAATAGATGATGGGTAAGTCTAGCTGAGTACCTTCTTGTACTCAGGGTTTTATTCCCATTGTTGCAGATAATGTTATGTATCACGGCTACTGCAAGAACTGCTTTGCTCCTGCAGTGGATGAGGACTAGGACCATGGGCTTGGTCACTCTGTATATCATCTCATCCTTATGCTTTTGGTTGGAGATGACTATGAAATTGGGATTGTATTAAACTACGTGTGATGTTGATGTCAAACTACTTTGCTTTCGCTACTTTCAAACTTGGTTTGTAATAATTATTAAAACTCTGATGTATGAGAAATATTTGTGAACTGTGATGTAACATGTAACTGGTTATGTTGAATCTCTATAATCTTGGTTTGTATGTTGGTTGTTTGAGATCCTTAGAGATTTTATCAGACTATCGGGTTTATATGGGCTCAAGTATGATGATTTGATCGCTTCGGTGATTGCTATTGTACTTGTGCTCTTATAAATTGGACGGTTCTGTGACAGCTGGCATCGGAGCAAGGATTCAACATTAAACTTGTTATATGTGTATTTAAAAACAAAGGTTTTATGTTATAAAAAGAGTTAAATACACCGGCAGCCCTTAAACTTGTAGCGTTGTGCCACTTAGGTACACGAACTCTCAAAATCGAAATTCGACCCCCTGAACTTGTTAAATGGTGCACTACAGGTCCATACCCCTTCGGGAGGTGATGACTAGGCTAAATTTTTACAAAAAACACCCAGCTATTTAAACCATAATGCAAATGAACTGATCACCGTATATCCATTCAGACTCACGCATGCATGCATTCTGGTTTTATAGAGGCTAAGAAAAGCAAACACGCCAAGAAAGGCAAACGGGAGCGAGCGGGCGTGGCATCACCACCACCCACCGGCGCGACGCGGCACCCCTCCACCCCCAGCTCACCATCCCGCACCCTCCGCCATGAGCTACACGAAGCGCCTGCTCTACACCAGCAGCCCGTGCCATCCTAGCATTTCCCCCGGCACCCCCACGCCCAAAGACCCGCCGCCGACAAGGTGGTAGCAGTGTGCGAGGACGAGGCCGACACGCTCGTCGCCACCAACGCATGGGACACACCGGCGGTGGTGGCGCACACGGGAGTTGCCCACCCAGCAGCCCCCATGCTAGGCATAGCCCGCGACATCCTGGCAGCATTGCCCCCGCCACCACCGGCCCCACCACCAAGGACCCACCGCCCGACATGGTGGTAGCGGTGTGCGACGATGATGATGAGGCCGACGCGCTCGTCTCCGCCACCACTGTCTCGACATGGGACGCGCCGGTGGTGCGGTCCACGCGCGCCGCGTGGGTGCTGTTCGTGGAGGAGTCGCGGCGGTTGTGGGCGATCGGCACGCCCATCGCCTTCAACAACATCTGCCTATACGGCACCAACTCCACGGAGCAGATCTTCGTGGGCCACATCGGCAACCACAAGCTGTCCGCGGTGGCTATCAGGATGGGTAGCGCACTGGAGACGCTATGCGTGTAGCCGTTCGGGGTGGGCCAGGTGGCCATGCTGGGCGTCTACATGCAGCGGTCATGGATCATGCTCGCCTCCTCTGTCGTGCCGCTCATGTCGCTATACATGTCCATGCTCAGATGGGGCGTCACCGGGGCCACGCTCGCCTATGACGTGTCGTCATGGCTCACCTCGCTCGCACAGGTGGCCTATGTCATGGGATGGTGCTGGGATGGGTGGACAGGGCTCAGCGCGGCCATCGAGCAGCATGAACATCAACGGGTGGGAGGGGATGCTGTTCATCGGCCTCAGCACGGCCATCAGGTAATTAACACAAATTTCATTTCAGAAAGAAACTCAACAGCCATTAATTGCCATCCATGGATGGTCCATGCAGCGTGCGCGTGTCCAACGAGTTTGGGTTCGGGCAGCCCCGTGCGAGCATGTACGAGGTGATGGTGGTGCTGGAGCAGTCATTGGCATTCGGGTAGCTGGCCATGGTGCTCGTGCTTGCGATGTGGGAGCAGTTCCCAGCCATCTTCACCGGCGACAGGCACCTGCAGAAGGCCATGTCTAGCATCGCCTACCTGCTGGCCGTCACCATGGTGCTCAATAGCGTCCAGCTTGTCATCTCAGGCATCGCTGTGGGCGGCGGTTGGTAGGCCATCGTCGCCTACATCAACCGCTGCCGGTCGGATGGTTATCGGGAGGCGGAGTCACCGCTGTGGTGGTCGGAGACGAGCTCGTGGATGGCGCTGGAGAGGCTATTGACAGCGGAGACAAGGCCCGTGAATCCCTGGAGCCGCAACTCTAGCCGCAACCGCCGCTCCTCTAGCTCTAGTACCTCCCGGAGACAAAGGTGCTTTGTTAGTTCGTTTGCATTATGGTTTAAATAGCAAGGTGTTTTTTGTAAAAATTAGCCTAGTCAGCACCTCCCGAAGGGGTATGGATCTGTAGTGCACCATTTAACAAGTTTAGGGGGTCGAATTTTGATTTTGAAAGTTCATGGACTTAAGTGGCACAACGCTACAAGTTTAAGGGCCGCCGGTGTATTTAACTCTTATAAAAATCTAAAGTGTGCCGGTGGTCATCTCCTTTATGCCTAGTTAAGGATTTTTAGGTGGCTATTTAAGTACTAACATGGGGGTTTTTAGTTTCGTCGTCCATACGTCGTGCTATTGTATGGATGGCATTCACTTGAGTGGTACTGTATGGATCAAATGCCTCTATGCCAAGGTAAGAAGGTAAGTTGATGAGTAGCATGACCGCAAGATGTGAGCGTGTGGTCGGGGAGAGCTAGTTTTGATACGGCTGTATATGCATGCTTGCATGTGTGTATGGTGCGTATTTAATTGTGGGTAATGAATTGTCATCGGGTAGCTTTGATACGGAAGTATATGTATGGGTATACATATATGAAAGTATTTAGTTGCAACCTATAGCCTAGATTTACATTTCTGTACTTATAACTGTTGGGTTGGGCTGAAATGAATTTTTTGTAGGTATACTAATAACGAAACATGTAGCTCATTTAGTTATGGTTATCGAGAGAACGTATGTATGCCACCGCGTATGTCCTTAGTAATTATTATTTTTCTAAGATTGTGAGGACGTACGGAACGAGCATACATCATGATACACCATTCATTTATGTTATTGCATTGTTCCCCTTAAATGATCTTATGGTTAAGTAACTCGTTTCTATAATCGTGCTGTCTCACTTAATTGTAACATTTTGTTACAGATGGCAGCCCTAGGAGCCCCTATTGCTAGCGACACCTTTCTGGCATTGTTTGGAACTCCCACCTTACTGTGGTGGGTGCTGAACTCTGTCGGGTACGCTGAACCACCTCGCTACTTTTGGAGCAAAGTGGTAACTGAGGGACAGAGGTGGTATGATGTGCAGGTCACTGTCGCAGCCCATGTGGACAATCCTCAGTGGCAAGGTTAGAGCGTCGAGTCAGATGGACAGACCCCTTGGGAAGGTGCCCAAGTGGCCGCTTTGGAGGTTCTCAGTGAGATTTGTCAGGAATTTGGCGATGAGCTTGGAAATGGGCCTGTTGGATCTTTCCCCTGTGTCAATGCATCATAGACCGCTTAGGCCCAGCAAGGCGGTAATGCTTTAGTTAGAGACAGGGATGAAAGAGCAGGAAGTAGTAATGCTGCAATGAGTGCCATGTATGCAGTCATCAAGATGTTTTCTCACGCCAAGATAGCTACATCAACTATATGCAAGAGCTCCAAAGAGCATAGGCCGCATAGCGTAGGATGAGGGGACGTGTGCACAAGCACCGAAGGGCAGCTAGAGTAGCCCAGCAGGAGATAGGTAACTTCACGATAGCCTTAGAAGCTCACCGGAGGTAGTTTGGCCGTGCTGTTGTAGAAAGAGATGCAGCTAGAGCTGAATTACAGGGCATCCGTGCTAAGAGGGACGATGTTATTCTTCTTGCTGAAACAAGAGAAGCAGCTAGGATCAGGACAGTATTCTAGGCTGCTTGGCAGGCCACAGAGTTTGACCGCAGAGAGCAAGAACTCATCCGCCAGATCGAGGAGCTTTAGATTGATGTTCATCGCCTCAACAACATAATAAACCCAATTATTCCTCCGGCTCCAGCGGTGGAAGAAGGCCCTAATGTGTTGATTGCTGAGGATGATGGCATGGAGATGGGTGCTGAGGAGGATCCCGAAGATGAAGAGGTGGAACCTTTTGAGGACGACCATGGTGATGGTGTGTCCAACATCGACAGCGATCACCCCGAGGAGTAGCTTAGCTGTAGTAGCGAGCTAGATGTAGTGGCTCCTTATCTTCAATCTTCGGGTAACAAACTTGTGTTTTAGGTCTCAATTTTATGACATACCCTTTCGATGTTATTGGAACTATGCATGTACTACCTGTGATGATGGTACTTTTCAATGAATTTCTAGTTGTTTTGGCATGTATGGAACGCATTGCGAGTACAATAAGTGATCATTGGTGATGTTATGTTGTGGAAATGAATTATTGTGCCTCTGTGTTATTGTATTAATTTATGATTCTCTCTAGTAATTATAGTATGGCATGATTATACAATTCTTATGCAATCTCTTGACATCATCCAATAATCACTTGTTGTTGCAACTTTGCAGATGACGCGCACTCGTAGGGGAGCTGGTGGTGATGATGTGGGTGGTGGTGATGATGCGGGTGGTAGTGATGGTCGTGGCAATGGCAATGAGGATCTCCCCCCCACCGCATCCTACACCAACAGAGATGATGGCTCAACTCATGGAGATTCAATGTTCCATGGGAGAAGTGTTGCGCAGTCTCGCATAGAATGTTGGCCAGGGACGAGGAAGAGACCAGAATCAAGACCTGAACCTAACCAGTTCAGCACTTTCAAGGACTTCCTTGACACCAAGCCTCCTATTTTTAAGGAAGCAGAAGAACCATTGCAAGCAGATGAATGGTTGAATACCATCGAATAGAAGTTCCATCTTTTAAGGCTCACCAAGCACCTAAAGATAGAGTATGCATCACACCAGCTACATGGACCTGTAGGCATATGGTGGAGTCATCATTGATCCACTTTGCCTGAAGATGCTCAAATCACATGGAACCAATTTACGGCTGCATTTAGGGTACATTATATTCCCCTATGTCTGATGAGTATGAAGCATACAGAATTCATGAGGCTAACGCAAGGTACTAAGAGTCTAACTGAGTATCTGCATGCCTTTAACAACCGGACAAGGTATGCCATAGAGTTTGTGGATACAGATGCAAAGAAGATTGCTAGTTTCAAGCGGGGACTTAGCCCGAAGCTGATGAAGACACTAGCTAACAACAAATGTGCTACTTTCAATGAGTTTGTTAGTGATGCATTAACCCAAGAGAATCATAACAACATCTATTCAACATCCAAGAGTCGCAAGAGAGCTTATGAAGCAGGTGTATCTTAGCCAAAAGCTCCTACCACTGTGAGACCCCAGTTTCGCCCTCCCGCTCCAAAGTATAGACCACTTTAGAAGAAGGTACAGCCTAGTCAGAACCAGAAAGCATATCGCAAGGCTTATTCTGTTGCCCTACCAAAGGGTAGTATTGGACAAGGCAGCTCCAATGTTCCACCTAGCAATATGCCATGCTGGAACTGCAACAAAACTGGCCATTGGTCAAGAAATTGCCCGTATCCCAAGAAAAACAACAACCAGAAGCAGGGTAATTCAAATGGACGTCCAGGACACGTGCACTATACCACCATGGAGGAGATTCCCTCTGGTGAGGTTGTCACAGCTGGTATGTTTCTTGTGAATCATCACACTGCAGTCGTTTTATTTGATTCTGGAGCTTTGCATTCATTCATGAGTCCAACATTTGCATCCAAGTATGATCAGTAAAACATTGTAGTAGACAAAGGTGGTTATTGTATAAGTGTTGCTGGGAGTAACATTTCTACCAATTAGATAGTTAGAGATGTACGTATCCAAATAAGTGAATGGGAGTATACTACAAATTTAGTGATATTTCTGGGATTGGGTATAGATGTGATCTTGGGTATGAATTGGATGAAGAACCACGGTGTCCTTATCGATACCTCGACTAGAACCATTATGTTGAGAGATCCCAAGAATAATGATGCTTTTTTAGTACCCCTTCCTAGGGAGTTTGATCTCCATAATGTGGCCAGTGCTATCCAGCCTGTGGCCCTTGCTGATATTCCGGTAGTATGTGAATTTCTGGATGTCTTTCCTGATGAATTGTCGGGGTTACCTCCGGACAGAGAGATAGAGTTCAAGATAGAATTATTACCAGGTACCACACCTATTTCCCGAAGACCGTATATAATACCACCCAATGAGTTAGCAGAATTGAAGATTCAATTACATGAACTCTTAGAAAAGGGTGTCATTCGCCCCAGTTCATCACCATAGGGTTGTCCAACCATATTTATGAAGAAGAAAGACAAGTCTTTTCGGATGTGTGTGGACTATCGACCACTAAATGTTGTTACTATCAAGAACAAATATGCTTTGCCTCGCATTGATATCTTGTTTGATCAATTAGCAAAAGCAAAAGTATTCTCTAAGATTGATTTGAGGTCAGGTTATCACCAAATCAAGATTAGGTCGGAAGACATACCTAAGACAGCTTTTTCCACTAGGTATGGCCTTTATGAGTATTTAGTCATGTCCTTTGGATTGATCAATGCCCCTGCCTATTTCATGTATTTGATGAACTCAGTGTTCATGCCCAAACTTGACAAGTTCATGGTTGTGTTCATCGATGACATCTTGATTTATTCTGAGACGGTAGAAGAACATGAAGAGCACTTGAGAGTGGTATTGTCGAGACTAAGAGAGCATAAGTTGTATGCAAAGTTTAGTAAATGTGAGTTTTGGTTGAAGAAGGTACCTTTCCTAGGTCACGTATTATCGGAGGATGGAATTTCTGTAGACCCATCTAAAGTGCAAGAAGTGATGAATTGGAAAGCTCCCACCTCAGTTCATGAAGTTCGAAGTTTTCTTGGTTTAGCTGGATACTATCATCGGTTTATCCTAGATTTCTCCAAGATATCCAAGCCTATAATGAGGTTACTTCAGAAGGATGAAAAGTTTATATGGACACCGGAGTGTGAAGCAACTTTTCACACTTTGCGTACTTTGCTAACTACTGCTCTTGTGTTAG